AATCATTTGCATGAATTGAATACGAAAAGAAATCATAAATGTAATGAATTTATCAATTATACTTATTAAATAGAATATAAATATTGAATTTAAAAGATGTTTCTAATTTGGACACTGTATTTTTTTCCTATTTTTTATATGTGTGTATATTGGTGTAATTAAAATATTGGAAAGTTAATGAGGTGTTAGAACGTTGGGGTAAGTGCTTTAATGGTAATAATAAATTTCCGGTATCATAAAATGAAGGTTAATGTTTGAAAGGATTAAGAAAATATGCAAATTAAGCGAATGACAGAGATAATGATTAAAAATGAGAGAAGATAAGAAGTGAATTCCAGCTTACCGTAATCAAAATGAACAAAAATAGATGAGAAAAACATCGAAAAAATTTTGATATTTTGATATAAGTATGCATAACATAAAGCAAATGTTGTTGCATAAATACAAAAATCTGTATAAAACATTGATAAGTAAACAAGAAAATTAAGAAAAAAGACTACAGAAAAATGAAGAAAATTAAAGTTGGAATGATAAATTTGAATTTCAGGAATTTTAATTTTCAATTCCACTTTCTTTTGCAAACTGACAATGTTGATCAGTTGAATTTTAGAGCGTGCTCATTTTCGTGAAAGAAAAACAAAAACAAAAATAAAAAAAAAATACAACATATACTTCGAAAGTATTGAAGTAATACAACCTGGAGAATCATACGGTAAAAAAAATACTGTATGCGAAATAAGCAATAATAGAAGAGATCTTGTAAAATGCAAAGATATTCATTACGAAAAGAATGAAACAATTAGAATAGGTGTAAATAGTAAATTTTAAAATTTAAATTTTTAAATTTAGCAATTAGAAAGACAATTTTTTTTCTTTTTTTGGAGAAAAAAATCATGAAGAAAATTTCCCTTTTTTATTACTTTTCGTTCATTTTTGTGAGAAAAAGAAAAAAAAGAAAAAGGTGAAAGAGCATAAGGTAAAGATGCAACAGCTTAAAAGAATGGTAAATCTGCTTTGCTTTGATAGTATTGGTTAACAAATAGGTGAAAATGATAGTCGATCAAATATATTGCAAAATAATATACCATAATCATAGTTATAATAATATCGTTGAATGAAAAAGCTAACCGACCTCTTAAATTGCTCTACGGGTAATTATTGGGTAGTTTGATGAGGAGAGGAGAAAAGAACGGGAAGGTGATATGGATTGAGTTAATGAAGCCGAAATAGGAATGATACTGTTGCGCATTATTCAAGTGCTTCCTCTTTTGCATGTTTGCAGATATGTCATACAAATGCGTACCGTACAAAAAGATGAATGATGATGATACAACGATTGAAGATGGATAAGTTACGTAAAATGTTGAAGTGAGCAAGAAATTTTCCGGAATTTTAAATCTCAACCGAATAGTTTTCAAAATTACAATTTTTTTTTCCCAAAATTTTGATTATTTTATGGAACTATAAATTTGTGTATTTGTTAAATAGAAAAATTACGCATTTAAATTCCGTTAGTTCCTTTTTTTTTTTCTAAGGAAATATTATTTCTGATTGAAAAAAGATTTTATTTTTTTTCTCATTACTCTATCGATTTTTTCCTTTTTTTTTTTTAATTTGAGTAATTTACTAATTTAGGATGCTGAAATGATAATCAACATTCGTGCGGATTGATCATTTCGATAGAACTTTACTCGATTGAACTAAAGTGAAGAATTCTAGTTAGTTGATTGGTAATGCCTAAAAGGTCAAAGAAAAGGTAGATTATAATGTGACAAGTGCTGACGACGATGGTTTTAGTGAAGGGATAAGATGGACAAAAGAAAAGTGCAGTGTTTTCATGCTATACAGCTAATCGCAAAATGAGACGGTACATAAACCCTCTTATTACTTTTACCCTCTTTCATTCCGCTTAATATACGTCCAACCCAGTTTACCCTATTCAGCTCGTTGAATGATTGATTGTTCTCGCCAAAATCATCCAAATCGAGCATTTACGGGTCATCGGAATCCGAAAGTATACCGCTTGAAAAGCAATCACAAATAAATTTGAAGAGGCAGGTTGTTACTGTTGTTGTTTACATAGGAGGAATGATACAGACCATAGAGCTAATAATAGTATAATTGATTTGTTTGAATATCAAATCAACCCATTATAGTTATTTATCTGAAAATCAAGACATAGTTTAATAATATGTATATGTTTTAATCTTAGATTGAAATTTAATTTAAATCATGCAACTAAATTTAAATGATTTTGTTCAATTACTTGATTTAGCTTTAATTATTACTATTATTCTACTAATCTGTTATTTCCGGCACTATCTCACATAATTCAACTTCCCTCCTCTTACCCTTAAAAAAAAAAAAAAAGAATTACGGTGAAAAATCTATATGGATACGGTAGTGTTAAAAACTCGTAAACACAATATATTGGAAAACAACGGTTAGTATCTCATTTCCTCGATAAAATTTTGTAAGGATACCATCATTCGGTTTGTTAACCATGATGGAAACATGAAGATAATAACTTAAGTAACACGTTAAAGATACGTATGTTATGATCAATGCTCATATTATCAATCAATCTTCAGACAATAAAACTCAATATCTTACGTGCACTATTCTTCCATTTATACAAATAGTTAGTTAAATTAAAAAATTTTCAACTATTATTAAGCCTATTTAGTATCTTCAAAATATTGAAAAATAACCAGTAAAAAAGCGCATTCGTCCACGAACTGCTTTTCTGAAAGATTTTAGACGTGAGAATTGTGTCATCTCAACTATAGATGTTGCATCATTTTGTTGCGGTTCATATTTATTGCTACGAATTATATTTTCATTTTTGATTCGATTATAAGCATTTCCTGTAATAAATCCCTTTCTTGCTTTTCCGCATTGAAAAATAGGATCACAAAAAAGTAATACAGCTGTTTATTTAACAATTTATATCATCATTTGATTATTGATTGATTGATAACTGTATTTTCTTTCTTTAATTTATCGAATGTTCATCCAACTATTTGGTTTTCTTTTTTTCTTTTCAAATTATTATTTTTTTTTCAAATTTTCTTTTATTTCTTTTCAATCTTTTTGCTACAGTAAAATATTATGACTTTAATAATAAATTTTCCAATAGTTTCAAAATTACTTTTTAAAACAAAAAATTTTCCTACAAAATCCATTCATAATGTAATACTGTACATGAGAACAGTAATAAACAATATGATATAGATTTGAAATTTAGAATGACAAAAAATCTTACTCCTAAAAATAATTTTTCCGTTTTAAAATTTATTTTCTCAACGAAATCTCTAAACTACAGCTTTTTGAAACTGCTCATAATTTATCAATTACTCAAACAATGAAATGCACGAAAAAGAAGTTTCATTACTCATTAATCACAAGATGGATAATAATATGAAAAAAAGTAGAATTGGAAATTAGCATATAATTATGGTCATGTAACATCACCAAATGCTACATAACAATTCATGTTTTATCAGAATGATGCAGTCAATCAAATATTTGTCAAAATGGCGGCTAAAATTTGAGTTAAAATATTGAAAATTTAAAAGTGAATTACAGACATAGTACTACCGCTTTTGGCTAAATGATCGATAAATACTATGCAATCCTAACAGACAATAACTTCACCTATCATAGCGATAATTGGTTTGATGAGTCTTGAGTGAGGGAGAATCACTGCCATTGTAATCCATGGAAAATACCGGGAAACCATTCCGACTAATGTATCACTGAAGGGCATAAGCGAAGGTCAACTACGATAAAAAATATGAACATATCCCGGAAACTGTTTGAATCCATTTACTATTCAACTCACCTAACATGATCAACTTGTTAGTGAAATTAAAAAAAAATATATACATATATAAATAGAATGAGTGACTTCAAAAATGTGCTCCATTCAATTTTTTTCCGACTTCCTATTGGCCTTTACTTAATTAATGTTGTGCTACCGTAATTAAATGGAAGTTGTGTGAAGTCAGAAGAAAGTTAAAATTTGAAAAAATATTAAAATATGATGAAAAATGGGAATATAAATTAGAAATATAAATGATTATGTTAAACTTAATGCATTATCAAAGCTCTATCTATTGTGATAAGCTATCTATTATGATATACATGCATATATACATTATAATAAATGAAAGAATGGAAAAATTTTTCTTTCTAAATTGATCGAAATGTATGAAAATAATGCAATTTGATGTGAAGTTTTTTGAAATGAAATGCTTTCACATTGTCACTCAAAATAACTTGACAGAATGAGATGAAAATGATTTGTTTATATGTGTAAATGACAAGTTTTGCAAATATTGCAAAAGAAATAAAATAAAATAAACATCACTATCAAAGCTATCTATTGAACTTAAGGATTATGGAAAAAAAAAGAGGAAAAAAAATTAATGCATATATTGAGAATGGGGTGGAAAAAAGATTAACGGTCCCTCGAATAAAAAAAAAAATACAATGGCCCCGGCCTCTTGAGTGATTTACGAAAAATCAACATATTTGAATGATTATTCTAAAAATAACGAATGAATGCGATGATGGATCCTTCTTACTGAATTGTTGTTACCCTACCAATCATCACATCATAAAACCATATGGTTCATATATGTTCATGACAGTGAATTTTTTACAAGATGCTTCCTTTACTTTTTTTTTTCTTCATAAAGAGGAAAAAAAAAACTAATTTTGTCCTAAAAAAAAAAGTGAGGAGTATCTTAGTTCTTTTCTTATAATGAAAAAATTAGATTTCATTTAATTCGTAGGTAAAGCAATAGAAAACACTACAAAATGACACATTATTAACCGTTCAATTCTTCAAAAAAAAAGAAAAAAGGATAAGCTTCATTAGTTAGTCAATGTTAAAATCCATTAATCCTGGAATCCAGAATAATTCTATTCATAAAGAAAAATAATAAAAATGACTTCAATATATAATCTGTTGGAATTTAATAATTTAAATTTTATTAATGATAGTGTCTGTAGTGTTGATCAGATTTACAAATGGTACTAGAGAGTGATAAAATTTCACCGTGTTCTTCCATTAAGTAGTATTGATAAGTGTGTCCAGAGTAATCCTCAATAGATGCATCTGCATCTGAAAAAGAAATTCTGAAGAGATGGGGGAATAAAGAAAGATTTAAAATGATTATTTGTGAAATATTCCAATTTTTATCAATTTTCCATAGAAATCCCTATCCATACAGTTTTTTCACATTTAAAAGTTTGAATAAAGCAGTTAACATTGATGGTAATGTAAAAGAAAGAAAAGTGGTAAGCAAGGAAGTAAGTCTGTAAATAAGTAAGTTTATAAATAAGTAAGTTTGTAAATAAATGAAAAAGTATAAAATATAAAAACTGGATGCATTAATATCCGGTAAAGCACTCACCACAATCTCTTAGTAAAATGGCAATGATTTCGTGCTGTTTACCAATAGCAGCAAGGTGAAGAGGCGTATAACCACTCTAAATGCCTTATTTTTCTCCTCTCAAATTTATTGTAATTTTTTAGAAAGTATTCGTAATAAATCCCAAAGAAAGAAATAACTTACAGCCTGAAAAAAAAGTGTAAATTTAATTTAAATGAAAATAAATTCGAATCATATTTCATCAATTTAAACATGCATTTTCAATTTTGAAAATGGATAAAAATGCTTACGGAAATAGTCTAGCAATTCAATGAATTTCATAACATTTTTAAAAATCCAATTTCAATCTGGCCGACAACAACAAAAAGAAAAAAAAGCTTTCAAAATATTTTTCGAATTTTCTGACAAAATTTCAAAGATTTTATAAACATCAGAATGTATTCGCTTACAGTTCGAAGATTGACATCAGCACCATTCATAACTAAAAACCGTAGCACAGAACTATAACCATTCTTAGCAGCATAATGTAATCCACTGAAGCCATGATTTATTGCAGGTGCACATGAGATCAGATATGGCTTAAGGATTATTATTCAATGATATATTTCGTAAACTTTACTTGAAAAATTTTAAATTGAAATTAAAATAATGAAAAATGAATTTTTTTTTTACGGTATTAAGCGATAATGATGCATGAGAAACGTCAAAGTGACTCATTGTATCTACCGTATAATATCGTATATTCTTTTCGATTAAAACAGAAAAATTTTTTGAGATTTTAAGAGATAGTAAAACAATTCTGATATTTCCTCAATTTTCATTTTTAAATTTGATCAAACTAACAGACAAAAAAAAATTCTCTCCTAACCTTTTGTTTTACAAGCTTACCAACTGTTCGCAAATCACCAGTAGAACATGCTTGAACCCATCGTACGGTAAGAATTGCATCACCTAATAACGGTTCCTCAGAGGAAGAAAAAATGTTTGAGGTCTGAAAATGTGTGATTATGAATAAATTGAACATAAATTTGCTATTTTAATTCTTATCAAGTAAAACAGTGATATCCATATGTTTGAACAAAACATTTAATTTAAATGATTAAATAAATAATTAAATGGAATGATTAAAAAGCAATTAAATACTATAAATGTCTGCCTATTCCCGTAGAGAATTGAATAATTCGAGATGCTTTCATTCCCAATTTCAATGAGATGCTGTATGATGATAATAATAATAATAATAATAGTAATAATAATAGGTTCAGCTAGATATGAAAATTTTCAATGCTTTCTATCTAACAGCTATGTAGTTTATATGAAAATAAATGAAATATGCATAATTTGGTGCGTGTTTGTGTGAAATAAAATATATTTCGAAAAATTTCGTTCCTTCAATATGAGATTAATTAATTAATTAATTTTTGATAAATAAATGATAGATAATCGGACAAAACCTAAGCAATTAGTGTAATTATTTTCGAATTTAAACAAAGAAAAAGAGAAAAATTTTGGTGATTCAAAAATTTCACTAAGTCCAAAGTTGCAAATTATTTGGGTGAAAAAAAAAAAAGAAAAAGGAAGGACAAAAGGATGAAAGGGCAAAAAAGTTCAGGTAAAGTAGCAATAATGCGCAATTGGACATACAAAAGCTTTTTAACTAACAGCTGACACAATTAATTTAACAATTTAAGTAATGATCCTTTTAACTTTACAATTTGCGGCAAACTGTATTACATAAAAGAAACAAAAATTTGTGAAAGATCATTATCGATATCACTCGTCAAAAACGTCGTATTTATGATATGTATTAACGTAATTTCATCACATAAACAAATAATCATTACTGATAACATTTGATTATTATTTCTTTGTTAAAAAATGATTCTACATTTTAACATGAAATTTTTTTTTTTTTTAGATGTAAAGTGAAAAAATGTCATACACTATAACCAGTACAGTACTTCAAAATTCTTATAAAATACGTTTTTCCTGAAAATTATGATTGTTTGAAAAAATAAATAATAAAAGTAATAGTTGTGATAATATTACTATTATAGTATTATCAAATAAAAGCATAAGAAATGATGTCAAAAGAAGTAAAAATAGTGAAGTAATTTGTGTTGACAGGGCAGCAGAAATCTTTCTTCTTCTTTTTTTTTTTTTTTTTAACAAATTTTGTGAGGGCATGATCGGTAATGACAGGAAAGAAGGGTACTTTTTCGGCATTTTACCCTTTTTATAGGAGGTCGGCCGCCCTCTTCATCCTGAAAATCCGCATTAGCTCTATTAACGCAAATTCAACGGTTCAGTGCACACACACACAGACATACACACACACACACACACACACACACACGTACATACACATACACATCAAAACTATTTATATTGTCAATGTAGGCGTGTTAAATTTAACATACAGAAGGATATATCAAATAAAATTTAATAGCAATTTTTCTCAAATTAGTTTGGAGATCAAGAAGAAACATCAAGAGATGGATTTATTGGTACCCATAATATGTTAAGTAATAGCTAAATAATGTATATAATAGTGAATATGATAATAACATAATTAAAAATCATTCCCATAATTTTATCAATGATCATGTAAACTTTTCAGAAACAGCCAATGTTAAAAAATCATAATATCCATTGATTGAAAAGTGATTAAGAATAATGCATACTGTATAATATGCAAGCATTTAATGATGAAACAATTGATGTTAATTCATGGTTTGATTTTTGCTAAGATATAATGCTGGGATGAATAAACCATCATTTATCAAAATGAATAGTAGAAGTTAAACTTATTTGATTTAGTAGAATAATGAAAATATTGATTTAAATTTAACCACAAACAAAACTTATTATCCTTGTTTAAATTATTGACTGTTAAAAAATAATAATTAATGCCGAATATGATTATTTAATGACTTGATCTTTTTTTTTTTGTCTCATCAAATTTTCAAATTTCCCTCCTCTCTCTATCATTCTTCTTCCCTTTCAGTTTGCATCAAGACAATACATCAATTTTAAAGTACAATCACTTCCTTACTTTTTTTTTCCTTTCATTTCTAAAAAAGGATACCGCTAGAAATAAATGTTCTGTATTATATTTCAGTTTAAGCAGATGTCCCATCCATTAAAAACGGAACAAAAACAACATTATTTCATTAAATTTCATCAAGATTATCTTATGAAAGGAAATACTGCAAAAAAAAGCTTTTTCCTTTTCCTAAGATTATTTCTCATTCGGAGGAGAGATCTGCAACACAATCCATTTCTTGGATAACGTTACATTATTTTTGTGAAAAAAAAAATCTTAAATTAAATAAAAACAAGCAACAAATCATCACATTTCACGATTAATCTAAAGTTAACAATATGAAATATATACACTTCTTTATAAAATTTACTCATATCATTTACGGTCACTATTTATGTGACATTATCAAACAACTACCAATGACTTAGGTACATTCATGCTTTAGGATATCCAGAAATACAGCAATATTCACTTACTAATTCATAATACATACTTTCAGTAATAAAAAAAATGATTAGTTAAATTTGAAAGTTTAGTATTTTATTCTTTTAATTTTTTCCAATACTCTAATTTTACTGAACTAATCTTTTTACTACAACCATATTATGAAAGCAATTTTCAAACCATTCCCATAAACCAATCAGCTTTTTTTTTGATGAAATGAGATAAAATGCTGTGGTTGAGTTGAATCGGGTGAGAAATTATGTCCTGTTGAATTGAATTAATTGTGGGATGATGATCTGTTTAACGATCAAGTCACTCTTTCATCTCTTCCATATATCAAAAAAAAAAAGAGAAAAAAACACCTTACTTTATCTACCACTGAAATAAAAGGAAGACCAACCACTAACTATTACAAAAATGGGCGGAAGAAATTAAAATCAAAAAAAATAACGTAAAATTTACCGCGAAATTTAAAAGTGATGTAAAATTTAGAAAAAAATAACGTAAAATTTAAAATCGATCTAATATTTAACGCCCAACATCTTGGAAAAAAAAACTAGTACAAACAGTAGGAGAGAAGTTTTCTTTCACTTAAAGGTTCTTTCATTCACTCATAAACTTTACTTCAAATTTGTAACTAACAGAGATTTTAAAAATCCTGTTCCAATAATTGGACGTCCATACATATATATGTATATACTATCGCATGAGCTATACATTTTAATATTATCTTTTTTCACAAAGTTTGGTTTTCTATTTGGAAAAATAAGTTTTTTGTTTTTTTTCTTTTTTTTGCTGCTAAATACCTTATTTGTTGATTTAGACAAGGAAAGTGGAGCAAATAATTTGGAATATATGTCATGATACATATCAAAATCATGAAATATCGCTTAACAGCTTCAAAGACATTTTTCAGTTATACGGTAATTCATAAGTTCAATAAGTTTAAATTTTTTCCGATAAGTTCAATAAGTTTAAATAATTACTGTATCCTGCTAAAAAAAAGCATAGAAATAACGGGAAATCCGTTGGCATAATCTTGGCCAATATGTCGTCCGATCCATTTGCCAGTACGTTGTCCAAAAATGGTGCTCAAATAATTCTAATCGATTAGATCATTTTGATTAAAAAAAAAAATGCATTTAATGCTATGTCTCTAATCAAATTTGAAATTAATAATTCGATATCTTACAAAAGAAACAAAAAAAGATGAAAATTTACCATTTCCTGTTCACTTGCAGAAATTATATCCGATATTTCAGTGCATTATATTAACAAATCAGCCTTTTACCGTATACTCTACCATCCACTTCATATCGTCAAGATTTAATCTCAGACTATATTCACCTTTACTCATTCGCTTACAAGTGGATTCTTTACTTTATCTATGATTCTTTGACACAATTACTATTCAAATTTATGGTATCAACTGTTACTCAAACAATACGATAAACCGGTTTTCTGATTCCTCCAAAAGTACCAAGTAAATGTCCGCTTGCCTTTTCTTCTTCTCCTCCTCCTCCTCTTCCTCCTCCTAGGTGGTATCATTCATTTATCCTCTTCAATATCCTTTTCCCTGTCAACTGTCAACCACCATGTGTCAAACATCCGTCACGCTACCAATCTTTCTAATAGTAGCAATTTACACATATACACACATACACATAAATGAAGTGCGAAAATTGGATTTGCTCGCAGTTTTTGTCCAACAACTGACATTTGTCCAACACATACATATATACATACACACACACATGTTTGGAGGCAGGAAGGTTAGCCGGATGAACGGATAGATGGATAGATAAATTGATGATGAAGGCTTTAAATGATGTCGGGATAATTTGCGCACAAAGGCTTACCACGCGAACATCAATTATCACTTATAAACTATATACTAAATACTCATATCATACATATACATATATAAAACGTAAGTAAAATAGGATAGATATATCTTTAATATTACAATATTATTTCTGACAATCAATTTCCCGTAGATTTCTCACTTCTATCCTTTCAAACCAAACCTTCCACACCTCCTTTTTACTCCTCCGCCTTTTCAATTGCTCCACCTTTACGTCTACCACTTCTTCCTCCTCCTTCCCCTCCTCCTCCTCCTCCTCCTTCTTTATGTTAATGATAGAATGGAGATGAAGAAGGTCATCATCGCCATCATCGTCATCATCATCATTATCATCATCATCATCATCATCATCATCATTATCATCAGCAGCACAATTTTTGAAGTCAATCGCACAAAATTGCGACAACTGTCAACCCCTCCCCCTTTTTTCCTCCTCCTCCTACTCCTCCACCCTTTTAACGGATCATGAGTTGGCTGATTGGCTGTTGACTTGTCATTTACATCAAACATAAACAGCAACTAAGACTTCTTTTCCGGATTGATTTTCACAACAGCAATTTGATTCGTATTTTGATCCTTTTTTTTTAAAAAAAAAATTTAACTTCTTTCTTCTTTTCACTTTTTAATTTATCAAGAACTACCGTTTACTATTCATTGCTTTTTTTTGTTCTTTTCATCTCTATTCATCTCATCTCATCAAATACAATAGTACTGGAAATGAGATCAACTGTATTTCAATACCATATCAATTCATTCTTTCAATATGTGTTTCGAAAAAAAAAAAATTAAACTGTTCCATGCTTAATATATATACCGGACATGAACTTTTTCGTATCTAATATATATATATATATATTATGAGACAGACAAAATGATAAATTCACCGCTACCTCTGTCCAATTCTTCTCCTCCTCCTCCTCTATTCCAATTTATGTTCAAACTCACCGTATCCATCATCAACCATTCAACTTATCAAACAACTACTTTTGTTAGAACCAGTAACAACGCTTCGTTCTACCAAAACCAATACAAGTATTGCTATTACTCTTACTCATATTACTACTATATTCAATTGTTTGCATTTTATTTAAGTATTTCAATTCTTTCATTTTCTTCCAATTTTCAAGTTTGCAATTTATTTACGTTGAAAATATACAGTGATATAATAGTGTCTGATATAGAATTACCTTGATCAGGATAATGAGAAAAATAAATTACTGCAAATACATCAAGCATGAATAAATACTAAATTTTTGCACTTTCATCCCTCCCCATATATAAATTTTATTTAAGTATTTGAAGCGTTTTTCATTGCACTTTACTTAAGTACTTGAATTTATTATATTTTATTTAATCTCTAGAAGTATATCTCTCTGTAAGCTTATAAATTCAAGCCATAAAAAAAAAAAAAAAAAAAAAAACATACCTCATCATTATTTTTCTCTTGTAATTTTAATGTCGGTTTTTGTTCCACATTCATTTCACTATTACCAAAAATTCCGAAATCAGCAATTTCTAATTCATCTTCTACTCTTGCAAACGGGCAACAAATATTTTCAACATCATTTTCAGCAGTTGTCTATAAAAATTCCAACAATATTTATTTTTTTTTTATTTTT